AGCAAGCTTGTCAACAAGTTGTAACAATGCTGTTATTTTATCAAGTTGCTACAAGGTTGTCACTCACAACTTGTTGACAAATTGTTGAATTGCAGGACGATAACAAGTTGTTGGAACAACTTGTAACAAGTCTGATCAGCTCAACAACCTTGTAGCAAGTTGTCAACGAGCCGTAGACAACTTGTCAACAAGCTGGGAACAAACAGTGCAAACAAATCCTGTTGACAAGTTGTTGGAACAGCATTGCGCGCCACAAGTTTGCTGTGGGTTTGTTACAATTTGTGCGTTTTTACGTGTGTAACTCAAAAGACCCGACTAAGTTTTTTTGTATGCGTGTAAGGGTTAGTTGTAGTTCTTATGGTAAAAGTCTTTATTTCTCCTAATGATGTACAGGATATAAACCTATTGTCCGAAACACGGCTAGAACAGCGATCAAGAACGCCGCAAAAGTCTTTTCTAAAGAGCAGTTTCGCCATTCGAGAGCGTTGGTGGAAGGTACTTTACTCAAAGCTGTACAGGACGCTCTGGGAGGTGTGTGCTGTCGTAAAGATTGCTCCAAGTATGTGTGCCGAAAGGGCTGCAAGAAATACAGTAACTGTACTACAGCAGATAAAGGAATATTCGTTGATGCCAGGTACGATTCCGAATAGCATTTGATATCGCAAATTTACATATATATGATATGATCAAATGCACTTTACATCAAGTTTACGCTTACCTAATTACATATTTAGCCTAAACCACTTTATCTCTACAACAATTATGATATTACTTTCTTAACTGTGTTTATCCTAACCGACCCTGTCAACTTTCCCTGTGGGAGGAAACCAGAGCACTCGGAGAAAACCCACGACTTTCGGCAGAGCGTTGACTGACTCTTTTCACCTGAGTCCATTGCGAGAATCGAAGCTACGAACTCAGAGGCAAAAGGTGCGCCCTGACGACTACAGTAGCTACCAAAGTCCCTGGTTTCAATTGCATGTTTTTGATATCACGATTTTGATTTTGAAGGTATTTTCAATTGCATGATTTTGATATCACTAAAACACTGAAAGATCAATGGCTGGATCAAGTTGTCAAGAGAGAGGACACAGTGAAAGCCGGGTATACTCAGACAGAGCAGGTAAGTGTAATAGACCTTTATAAAAAGGTTGACGTCAGCAGGATTGTGACGTAGTTTGCGGAGAAAATCCCGAAAGCTCAGAGTTGTTTACTTGTTTTGAGTTTTTTAAAAGCGAAAAGAGGCCAGTATTATGGTAAGTTTAAAGTAAATTTTTCTATATATAGGCCTTCATATTCGTTAGAGTTTAAATTTTATTTGTTTTTACATTTATTTTACTGTCAACATTTAGCAAATTGTTCGCTCGGTTTGTTTACATATTTCTTTGCTAAAAAGTAGAATTTTTCTTTTTTGTTTCTCGAATTCATCAGTCTAATCATCAGAATGGCCCTAATCAAGCTGTAAACAGCAATACACAAGCACAGACTGCTCAGTGATCGTGCAAAGAGGTACATAAGTCATAAGTGAACTTAGACATATAAACTAAGACTAAGTCTATTATTTATCGATAAATAGTTGAAGTGAACATACATGACAAGTAGCTTTTATCAATCGTGTTTAACACTTTCCGTGTCTGGGTCAACAATCTAGCTTTAATTTTCTATCAAGGTTTTGCCAGGTTGGGCAATTCTCATGACTAGACTGATGAATTTGAGAAACAAAAAAGAAAAAAATATACTTTTTAGCAACGAAATATGTAAACAAACCGAGCGAACAATTTGCTAAATGTTGACAGTAAAATAAATGTACAATCTAATATAAAAACAAATAAAATTTAAACTCTAACGAATATGAAAACTCATTTGGCCTATATATAGAAAAAAATACTTCAAACTTACCATAATACTGGCTTCTTTTCGCTTTTAAAAAACTCAAAACAAGTAAACAACTCTGAGCTTTCGGGATTTTCTCCGCAAACTACGTCACAAGTCTGCTGACGTCAACCTTTTTATAAAGGTCTATTGTTCGTTGTTTTGCTTTTCTTTGCAAAGTGTGTGTGTGTGTTGATTTGAAAACAGGGACGTCGCGAAGTCATTAACATTGGGGGATGTCCTGACATTTTGACCAACCGTTTCAGTTCAAGAGTCTGACTCCATCAAATTTGTGATGGAAAAACTGAATGCTTAAACGGATGGGTTTTTACAAGGTGAAAAGTTCGCGCGATTCAAAATACTTCTTTGCGCTTTTGAGTACTACCATAGTTGACAATGTAAACCAATTTGAAAAACCAACAATTGACCAAATATTTTTACAAATATTTCCATTTTGACCAACTTTTTGAACTTAAAAATTATTTGGGAGAAGGATGTTAGGGACGTCCCTGTTTGAAAAGCTCACTCCTGTAATGAATATCACCGTCTCATTTCTCTATTTTAGATCGTAAGAAAAGTAACGGAGCAACAGAAAGAAGCTGTCGAAAACAAAATTCAAGAAGTGAATGAAAATGCGGCGGCAAATGTAACGGTCATCAATGCCCAGGCAGAGGCCAAATCGCTTCGCTTAGTCGAAGATGCGAGGAATCAAGGACTTGAACTTTTATACTCTACGCTGAACTTTGAAAACGAACAGCACAAAGCATCGTTTAATTATCTTCGTACTTTGAGAAACCACAAGAATATTCGTCTGCATGTAAACTTTGGCAACCTGATCTCAGGACCTAATACCGGATAGCAAGATTGTGTTGTACACATTCCTCACTTGACAAGGGTGTAAAATTATCAGTTTAGAACAAGTTTATTTATATATTGACTAACTTTTTGTTAATTTGCTATTAATATACATTTACGATAATACTCTCGGGGCAACAGGCTTGGGTATTGCACATTTGTGGGATAGAACAATTTGAATGGGGTCCAACCCCTCTCCCACTTTTCTTCAGGACTAATTTTGTTATTCTTTGTTATTCTTTTAAAACTGAGGAGAAACTGGGAGGGGAGGGGGGGGTATAGACCTTCTAATGTTATCAAGTATACTATAAAACACATCAAATCCGTGGCTTTCAGAATTATGAAACATGTCTAAAATGCAGTGAGATAGCGTTTAATAGAAAAATCGTCTTCCCCCGGACATTCACTTGGAGCTGGCTAGTGGCTACGCCCCTGAAGATTACGAACAAATAGCTTGCATATATAGAGATCAGTGTCTTCACGGAAATTGTCATTTTGAAAATTTTCGACTTTATTTTAGGACTTTTAGGGATGGGCGATACCAGCTTTTTCATTCGATACGATATTTCCTCGTTAATTGCCTTTTTTCCCCGATATCGATACCGATATCGATATTATCCCAATTCGAACAACCATAACAACAAAAAGACTATTTCTAATATCATTAACAACGGCAACAACGCTAACAATATAAATATTTAACAATTATTCGCCTCAGGCTCGGTGATTATCGGGGAATATTCGCCGAGACGAAGTCGAGGTGAATATTCCCGGATAATCACCGAGCCTGAGGCGAATAATTGTTTTAGTATTTTTACACCAGCTTTTGTGTTTTTTAAGACTGAATTTGTTTTAATTTCGCTTATTTCTTTGTCAGTAAACTTCCACAAAACGGGTATCCGCCATTTTGAAGCTGCCTGTTTTGTTATATTCACCTGTAGATGAATATAACAGCTTATTACGTCAAATTGGACCAATCAACGTGTAGGATTTGTCAGTATGTTCACTTGTGTAAAAATACTAATGAATAATATATGTCAGTGGTTACAGACAACTATGAACCAACATAACCAGAAACTCCCATCCTGCCCGTGGACCATTAATATTTTACGCCTATTTAGCTTTCTCTGGCTTTCTAGGGCTTTCTGGTATTCATTTTCATGATGATGATGCCGCTGACCATAATGAAAAATATCGCAGGCGCAGAAATATCGAAACATCGATATTTCTTGCCAGGATCCAGACTTTTCTTCAAAACCCTGGTATCGATAGTATCGAGTATTTGGTATCGATATCGGCCCATCCCTACTTTATTTCAAAGTCATCTTCAGACAGAATGACATTTTGTCATTTTGAGGTATGGGTCAGTTTAGCCCCCGGCTGAACAGGACGAAAGGGCAATATATATGCAGCGTTGCCAAGTCCGGGATCTTGTCTTGAGATCTCGGGATTTTTTGAAGCAGTTGGGATTTTTTTTTTATTTTTATTTTTAAAAGTCAATCTCGGGATTTTTTTGGGATTTTTTGAGGAAGGGAAGTTTGAAATTTAGGAATCGATTGTTTGGTAATCTTAAAAGGTTAACCTTTACTACTTTTGGCAATTTTCGGCCTATTTTAAAGAAATAAATAAACGCAGTTAAAGCAAGATGGTGTATTGGTAAGTACGAAGTGTTGCAAGTATTTGAAGCCAGGATCGATTCCTGGTTGTGTCGAAAGCTTTTTAATGTCAGGCATTCCACCCGAGAAGAGAAAGAGTGAAGTAGATCTAGAATAAAAAAAGGATTTGAAGCATGTGTAGGCGAGATGGTCTAGTGGTAAAGACAAGGTGTTGCGATTCCTGGTTGTGTCGAAAGCTTTTTAATGCCAGGCATGGTTGTTAATTAATTCCACCCGAGACGAGAAAGAGTGAATTAGAATAAAAAAGGAGTTAACACAGGTGTAGGCGTGATGGTCTAGTGGTAAAGACGAAGTATTGCAATCGCGTGAGGCCAGGATCGATTCCTGGTTGTGTCAACAGCATTTTAATGTCAGGCATCGTGTTAATTAATTCCACCCCAGACCGAGAAAGGGTGAAGTAGAATAAAAAGGCAGTTAAAGCACGTGTAGGCGAGTTGGTTTAGTGGTAAAGACGAAGTGTTGCAATTGTGTGAAGCTAGGTTCGATACCTGGTTGTCTAAAAATCATTTTGGGCCTCAGTATGCATTCATATTATGCAACGTAATTTATCATTATATGCCGTTTCGAATCTTATGTTTTATTGAATTTCAAGGCCCCTGTAGCAGAAACTTGAATTTACCACGGTCTAAAAATTGTGTTTTTGGAATCTACGGTCAATAGGCTTTCTGTCGATGCCTTATTCGTGCATCACTAGAGTCCGTGGACATAAAAAGCAGTTTTTTCCAGCTGTATGTGTAATCGAAAAAGACGTGAAAGTTAATATTATGCTGTTTCGAACCTTATTCAAGGCCCCTGTAGCAGAGGCCTGAATTTGGGCCAGTCTGAAAATTGTATTTCTGAAATCTACGGTCCATAAGCTTTCTATCGATGCCTTACTCGTGTATCAATAGACAGTCTATGAAGATACAAAGCAGGTTATTCCAGGTGCATAATCGAAAAAGACGTGAAAGTTAATATTATGCGGTTTCGAACCTGATGTTCTATCGAATTTCAAGGCCCTTGTAGCAGAGACTTGAATTTGGGCTTGCCTGAAAATTGTATTTCCGGAATCTACTATCAATAAGCCTTCTGTCGATGTCTCAATCATGCATCACCAGGCCGGACGTGGAGATAAAAAGCAGTTTTTTTCCAGCTGTGTAATCGAAAAAGACGTGAAAGTTAATATTTTATAAGTGACGGTTAGGGTTTGGCTGTTTCAAATCTGATGTTCTATTGAATTTCAAGGTCCCTGTAGCGGAAACGTGAATTTACGCCGGTCTGAAAATTGTATTTTTAGAATCTATGGGTCAGTAGGCTTTCTGTCGATGCCTTACTCGTGCATCAAAAGACAGTCCATGAAGATACAAAGCAGGTTATTCCAGGTGCACAATCGAAAAAGACGTGAAAGTTAATATTATGCGGTTTCGAACCTTGCGTTCTATTGAATTTCAAGGCCTCTGCAGCAGAAACTGGAATTTGTCACGGTCTGAAAATTGTATTTTTGGAATCTACGGTCCATAAGCTTTCTATCGATGCCTTACTCGTGCATCAAAAGACAGTCCATGAAGATACAAAGCAGGTTATTCCAGGTGCATAATCGAATAAGACGTGAAAGTTAATATAATGCGGTTTCGAACCTGATATTCTATCGACTTTCAAGGCCCTTATAGCAGAGACTTGAATTTGGGCCAGCCTGAAAATTGTATTTCTGGAATCTACGATCAATAAGCTTTCTGTCGATGCCTTATTCGTGCATCAGTAGACGTCCCGTGGAGATAAAAAAAGGTTTTTCCAGCTGCATGTATAATCGAACAAGACGTACAATTATGTTTCCTACCTTTCCCTGCCCAAAATGATTTCAACACATCGAGGAATCGAACCTAGCTTCTCACACGTGCAACACTTCATCCTTACCGCTAGACCACCTCCCTTACACATGGTGTAACTCCCTTTTTTATTCTACTTAACTCTTTCTCGTCTCGGGTGGAATTAATTAACAACGATGTCTGACACTAAAATGCTTTTGACACAACCAGGAATCGACCCTGGCTTTACGCACTTGCAACACTTTGTCTTTACCACTAGACCATCTCGCCTACACATGCTTTAACTCCTTTTTTATTCTACTTAACTCTTTCTCGTCTCGGGAGGAATTAATTAATAACGATGTCTGACATTAAAAAGCTTTCGACACAACCAGGAATCGATCCCGGCTTTACGCACTTGCAACACTTTGTGGTCTTTACCACTAGTCAGACCATCTCGCCTACACTTGCTTTAACTCCTTTTTTTATTCTACCTCACTCTTTCTCGTCTCGGGTGGAATTAATTAACAACCATGCTTTCGACACAACCAGGAATCGATCCTGGCTTCACGCACTTGCAACACTTTGTCTTTACCACTAGGCCATCTCGCCTACACATGCTTTAACTCCTTTTTTATTCTACTTAACTCTTTCTCGTCTCGGGAGGAATTACTTAACAACGATGTCTGACATTAAAAAGCTTTCGACACAACCAGGAATCGATCCCGGCTTAACGCACTTGCAACACTTTGTCTTTACCACTAGACCATCTCGCCTACACATGTTTTAAATCCTTTTTTATGCTACTTCACTCTTTCTCGTCTCGGGTGGAATTAATTAACAACCATGCCTGACATTAAAACGCTTTCGGCACAATCAGGAATCGATCCTGGCTTAACGCACTTGCAACACTTTGTCTTTACCACTAGACCATCTCGCCTACACTTGCTTTAACTCCTTTTTTATTCTATACTTACTCTTTCTCGTCTCGGGAGGAATTAATTAACGATGTCTGACATTAAAAAGCTTTCGACACAACCAGGAATCGATCCTGGCTTAACGTACTTGCAACACTTTGTCTTTACCACTAGACCATCTCGCCTACACATGCTTTAACTCCTTTTTTTATTCAACTTCACTCTTTCTCGTCTCGGGTGGAATTAATTAACAACCATGCTTTCGACACAACCAGGAATCGATCCTGGCTTTACGCACTTGCAACACTTTGTCTTTACCCGCACTTGCAACACTTTGTCTTTACCACTAGACCATCTCGCCTACACATGTTTTAACTCCTTTTTTATGCTACTTCACTCTTTCTCGTCTCGGATCAATCCGTACTTGTTTCTCACACAACACCACGCAAGAGACTACCACTCGACTAGCAGTTCTATATTCACTGGGTGGTAACTACACTCATATCTACATAATCCCTCATCAAAAAATTAAGTCGCCAAAAGCTTTAATTTATGCTTTGGATATTGTAATATTTATACATGTATTTATATAGTAAAATTACAGAATGTACTGCTTGGTTATAAACAGCTTAGCTTCATAATAAATACCTAAAATAAACTGCTTCGAAATATATGCAGCGTTATATATATACTGTATTACTGTAATTATATAGAGAATAATACATGGGTGCGCGGAAATACCAGATTTATTCTAGTGGGCGCGCTAGTATTCTAGTGGGCGCGCTCGGTAGATAATTGGAACATGCAGTATTTTCATGCATGCAATTACGATGGAATATTCGTTAAGATTTCTTCATAAAACGGTTGAAATACAGCGTAATTATGTGAGACAATAGGTCCAAATTTCTTGGTTATATCAAGTAGTTCATTTTCGATGTCTGACAGCGCTGCAGGGACTGTCACTGTGGTAGAATTTGAGGCGGTGGGTCGAAGCATGTTGCTCATCAGACAAGTGTACATACGCTTTCCTATAAGAAGAAAATGTTTGGTACAAACTTACTGGGGTACATTGTAGGTAGTATTCTACAATAAGCTGTTGTGGCTTGTGTCTGAACTACCTGAAAAAGATATCTCAAACTTGATGGTCCAGTGTAGTAGTATTCTTCAATAAGCTGTCGTGGTTTCTGTCTGAACTACCTGAAAAAGATATTTCAAACGTGGTGGTCCAGTGTAGGTGGTATTCTACAATAAGCTGCCGTGGTTTGTATCTGAACTACTTGAAAAAAGGTATCTCAAAGCTGGGGGTCTTTACGCTTTCGATTTAAAAAAACTGTCAAACTAGCTACCAAGAACTTACTTATCAACTGGCAGATATTGTTGCTTTCGTCTGACAAGTTCATAATCTGTTGCCTCAACAAACTCGATTTTTCTTCATCTAGACTAGTCAAATCTCTTTTTGATAGGAACGACTCCGTTTCTTTCATTACTTGCTCGCAAATATTTGGAAACGCCTTTGGGAGGTCACTAAAAGCAAAGAATATATATATAATATATATATATACATAGCGTTCAATTTAAAATTTCGCAGATGTTTCAAACTGCAATTATTCACACTACCTTTCTTTTTGCCCATTCAAAAGAAGAGCAACAGATTCTTTAATCGTTCTTTTGTATTCAGCATCGGACGCCAAATGTCTTCCCATGATGTTTAAAGTAACAGCAATCACTGAGGCGACTTTGATTAGATATTGACAGGACAGTCTCATCTCTGCCGCACGGTAACTGTCCAAGAATAGCGTCTACGTAGAAAATAATGTCAGGCAACTCAACTAACTTTGTTAAGGGATGACTTTATCAGTTCTAAACTAGCTGTTCTCTTTTTATGGTCCACTAAACATCATTCTTTACTGTTCCAGTGTTACTACACTAGGAGGAAACCTAAACTTTATTTATTTATTTTAGATAGCACTGTCACTTCTAAACTATTCTGACTCCCTACTAGAGGTCCAGTAAGAATCATCTCGTATTGATCCAGTGTTACTACAGGAGGAAACCTAAACTAACTTTATTTATACTGGACAGCTATATATCAGTTTTTAACTGTTCTTCCTAGAGATCCAGTAAGGATCATCTTCTATTGATCCAGTGTTACCACAGGATGAAACCTAAACTAAACTAACTTTATTTATGCTGGATAGCTCCATCAGTTCTAAACTGTTCTTCCTAGAGGTCCAGTAAGGATCGGCATCTTTTATTGATCCATTGTTACTAAACTAACTTAAACTAACTTTATTTATACTGGATAGCTCTATCACTTCTAAAGGAGGAAACTGGTGTGGAAGGTGCATGCGCCAACCAATACACAAGTTATTTGCTTTTTCTACCTCAGGAAATGGAAATCCTCCTTCACCCAACAAAATCCCGACATAACAATGTCTACATATATCCACGAACTCCACTCTTATTGTCCCTTCGTGACCATCTACCTGTAGAGTTCCCTCAGAAACCCTACCAAGCTCACTTCTAGCTATATCATGGCCCCTTTTTAACCACTCTTTGGTAGAGAGTAGACCATTTGGGTTGGCACTTAAATATTCTTTGAACTTTTGCCTTTCATATTCGACCGATTGTTGAAGAATTTGTGGCCGAAGGACGGACAGTCTGTAGTTTGCCATGTCCAACTTCATTAGATCCAAAACGTGGAAAATTTCCCTGTAAATGAAAGTTAGTGCACGTTATGTTTCACCTGGGGGAGTGGGGTTTGATTCTTGTATTATGCAGTTGTCGGATTGCCAATAGACCTTTCCCTTATGAGTGAAATTTTGATCTAGATATGCCTGGGCAAAAATTTCATCACAGCTTGAAAGAGCATCACAAAATTACAGTAGTAATATTCCAAAGTTTCGTTGCGAAATGTTGTAAAATGCGGATAATATAGCCTTGAGAAGTTTGCCGTTTTTCAGTCATTTTGTATTACAAATGGGAAATTGATAATCAGTTTGATCATCTGATTATCAATTTCCCGTTTGTAATACAATATGACTGAAAAACGGCAAACTTCGCAAGGCTATATTATCTGCATTTTACAACATTTCTCAACGAAACTTTGGAATATTACTAATTTTTTAATGCTCGTTCAAGCTGTGATGAAATTTTTGTCCAGACTTGTCTAGATCAAAATTTCATCAAAAGAGGAAAGATCTATTGACAAGCCAACTTGACAAGAGCAAAAAGTGGGCGTATTTCGTTTCTTGATGTGTTGTCGACATTCCCTCCTTCCCCTCTCACGCCTGGGAAGCTAAACCCGTGGAAAGGAGGGATCGCTCGCAGTTTCATGTCGTGACATGAAAATTTAACCCAATTCCCTCTCACCTAAATAATGGCACCAAGCCACCTTCGACCGTAGTTAATTTTCCAATATCTTCATCTCTTGCTGGTACACATATTTTAGACATAATTTGAATAATGAAGTTTGCATAGCCTTGAATGTCCACATTGCCATGTTGGCTTTGTTGTTTGATCAAATCAATGTCCAGAATAGAGTTGATGTTTTCTCTCAGACTGCTGTTATGTTCAAACGTAAGCGACAGAAGTATCTAGAGTTGTAAACAAAGATTGAAAGCTCTGTATTAATGGTTAGTGTATGTGTGTTTCACCTTTGTGACCGAAGTTTGATTCCTGCAATTATAATAATTTCAATGTCAGAGATTTTTTCCAGTGCTCCAGCTTTCAAGAAGTTTCACTGAAGTACAAGGCAATGGTATGGCGAGATCAGAAGAAAATGTGGGGTGGTAGACATCGCAAAGAAGGTAAGAGAAGCAAGGTTGAGATGGTATGGACACATAATAAGATGCGATGAAGGAAAGCTGGTCAGAGACATTATGGAATGAAGACATCAGAAGAAGATGTGAGGTGGTAGACATTGCAGAGAAGGTGAGTGAAGCAAAGTCAAAATGGTATGGACATGTAATAAGAAGAGATGAAGGAGAGCTGGCCAGAGACATTATGGAATGAAGAGATAAGAAGAAGATGTGAGGTGGTAGATATTGCAGAGAAACAAGACTGAAATGGTATGGACACGTAATAAGAAGAGATGAAGGAAGGTTGATCAGAGATGTTATGGAATGAAGAGATCAGACCAAGATACGAGGTGGTAGACATTGGGGAGAAGATGAGGGAAGCAAGACTGAGATGGTATGGACATGTAATAAGAAGAGATGAAGGAGAGCTGGCCAGAGACATTATGGAATGAAGAGATCAGAAGAAGATGTGGGGTGGTAGACATTGCAGAAAAGGTGAGAGAAGCAAGGTTGAGATGGTATGGACACGTAATAAGAAGACATGAAGGAAAGTCATTCAGAGGCATTGTGGAATGAAGAGATCAGAAGATGATGTGAGGTGGTAGACATTGCAGAGAAGGTGAGGGAAGCAAAGCTGAGATGGTATGGACATGTAATAAGAAGACATGAAGGAAAGCCATTCAGAGGCATTGTGGAATGAAGAGATCAGAAGAAAGTTTGTGGCAATCCGAAGGATTGTTTAACATTTTGATATGAATGGAAATCTGGCTTTATGTCGGCAATAAGGTATGTTACCAAATTCAAGGTCATGTAGTGTATTGGATTGTCAATCTTATATACCTCTTTGATCTCAGCTAGTAATTTTATAGCTTGTTCATAATTTGGGGGATCTTTGCTAATGTCTTCTTGTAGAACGTCCCAAAATGCTTGGTGGACAACTTTTTTCACTTGACCTTCAATACTGTAGAATCATCATAATTAATTGTTTGAATAATTGTTTTGGAGTGTTATAATTATACCATTTTTCATAGTGGTATTAATTTTATAACATACAAAAACACCATTCCACATCATATTAAATGCATACCATATTCTAGTACTAACAAACCATACCACATTTGTCATACAATACCTATACTTGACCACGCCATACAAAATAATTTTACTTCAAATAACACACTAATATCCCATCGCCACTGTATCAACAACTATATATATATATTAAAAAGCATACCAAGACACAGTTCCCATATTTTATTAAAACCCACATCTCAGAGACCATCAAATCAAAAGCATAAAAACTACATTTACTCACGAATCTGAGCGAATTTCTTTTAATTTGAAGTCCGCATCGATCGCCAGTTCGTGAGCTATAGTCATATTTTGAACAATAGCCTCAAAACTAGATGAACTATTAATATCGCCTGAATTCCCCACTCCTTGCGATGTTGAATCGCTTTCTTCTCCGGCTTTTTTCATCGTGAAGCTCTTTAAAATCCTTTAAAACTTAGGAAAACTATAAAATCTTTCTTTCCTTTTTTAGGATAAGGCTGTTATTGTTTTGATTTTAAACGCTCGACTGGTTTTCGTGCCGTTTTGACAATGTAAACAAAGGAAATATTTGATCGTGTAGCTATAAATATTGGAAGACTTTTAAATACGGGGGGAGTGCTAATACTTCTCAACTATCTTGAACTTGAAATCTATATGGTTTCTTTTGTAAATTAACCCAGAACAAAAAGCATCTTTATTTTGTTTAGGGTAAACGCATTTATTCCTAAAGCACAGAGTAAAAAAGTATTACAAAAACACAGGAAAATCATTTTTATTTACTTTTCGTCTATTTTATTTTGGTTCTTTCCACCCCCCGGAAAGTTGATTCTTGAACTTGAAACTAAGGATGGCTAATGACGTATAAGGAGATCTAAGGATGTCTAAGGATAACTAAGAAGGAAGTTTTAGGATAATTAGGGATGGCTAAGGAAGTATAAGGAAATATAAGGATGGCTTGGGATATCTAATGATAGCAAAGGAGGTCATAGGATGACTAAGGATAACTAGGGATGGCTAAGATTGTGATTTGCATATGTGAACTCTCTTTCCTTTGTTTTGCAAAGCAGAACATAGTCTCAAAAATGGTGAGAAAAATCCCTGTTTTTTTCATGCATCATTTGATATCATTTTAATTTAAGGCTTTGGATCGTTAAATCGATATTCAACGAGTGCAAATATATCAATTTTAGACTAAATAGAGCAAAACTTTTAGCATTATTTATCGCTTTGTGATAGCTATATTTCGAGTTAAATTTAGACCATTCAGTTCCAAGGGACACGTCAACTTGTTATAAGATTAAAGGCATAGATTTTAATGCAGTAGTAATATCTGTTTTAAATAGTGAATTTGCAACGATCTAACCAGTTGCTGTTTATTTTTATACATAATTTTAAAGTATACTTTTATTATTTTATGCATCAACAAATTGCTACAAATATATAATTGTTGCAAAATAGTTCGGATAGCGCTTTATGGAACTACGTCCTATAAGGAACCTCTTTAATTTTGCACAAATTTGCTTGCTTTGAATGAAAACTATATATTTACAATGTATTAATTATATTGTATTAATATTGTTAACTTCAACTCCTTCAAGCAAATTCAGGAAATTATGTCTATTAATCCACAAATTGATTGTCTCGATTGTCTAGGAGATCCAAATGAGCAGATATGTCAGTCCAGTCAATCCAGCTGTATTTCCACACCTTACGTTGGTTCTTATGTCCATAGGATTGTTCTTTACAGCTTGGTTTTTTGTGTATCCTTTAATGACAATGCTGTTTGGATGAATGTAACCCATTGAATGGCCACACTCTCCCCTTGACGAGTAAAATCATCTGGCATTAGACAGAGTAAAGTTATAAAGTAGGGCACATCAGGGTGCTTTGCAACTTAAAGGGTTAAGCTGCAATACGATCAATGCACCCTACTTTATTTTTATTTTACTCGGTCTAACTTTGGATTATTGAAAGCTACTATCTTTCCCTTAACTTTTTGATCAGCTATGAGGTGACGTCAAGTAAATTCACAAGAGATATCTACAAAGAATTACTTGTAGCTTTAGTGGCATCGTTATTTCTAGGTTTTGGAATTCTATTCCTTCTCTTATGGGTTGGAATCTACGTCTAACGAATCTCGTCAAATACGATTTTTAAAACAATGTGCAGTTACCTCGCAGTTGTAGAAATCTGGACAGTTGTTATCTAGCACTGGCGTTCAATGCAGACTCTTTGTAAAAATAAATTAAAATGTAGAAATAAAGTATTAAAATGGAATACTTTTTAATGAGTCAAGGAGTATATTCAGTGGACAGGTCATTCATACATGTAACTGATCATCGTCAAGATGCATTGCTCATCTTAAAGGTTGATTTAGACTTCACAACTTTGGCCTAAAACTGTCGCATGCAATCTACCTACAATTTGAGTTGTTCTGTGTAAATCAAGCACACAAGTCACAACTCGTGAACAATCCAGGTGAAATAGCTAGAATATTGTGATGTGGTATAGAATACAAGGGGG